TAGTTCATCTAGCCTTGCCTTGAGCTCAAAGTTTTCCTTCTCTAGTTGTGAAACACTAGAAGAGGAGTTAGTAACTAAAGCATGCTCAATTGATATTTTTTCATACGTTTCACTTAAAGCCTTTAATTCTTCCATCTTGGAGATGAGAAACAATTCTTGCTTTTGAAGTGATTGCTCTTGCTTCTCAATCTCTTCTTCAAGCTCTTCATTCTTTTCAACTATCTTCATGATGATAAACTTGTCTTTGCGGTTGAGATGATCAAGGTTGTAGTTGTCTTCAACTTTAACATCACTCTCATCTTGATCATCTACTTGTGCTTTCTCCTTTTCTTGATCTTTCTTGTTACTCTTTTTCTTACTTTTCTTGGCCATGAGACACAAGTGATGAGTATCATGAGATACTGAGATTGACTCATCACTTGGTCGCCACCGGGCTTGAACATCGTTGCAAACAGCTGCTTGCTGCTCTGCTGCCTCGACCATACCAGACCGGTATGTGCAAGCAGACAGCAAGTCATGCACTGCTTGCACTTCTTGCTCTGGCTCGGCGCTCTTGAGGTCTTGTGAGGCTTCTTTGCTGCATGAAGACACAATGGACATACTTTCTATTGACTCGGTCTCAAGTGCATCATCACATTTGGATTTTCCATATAAATCAAAAGGTCTAGTCCAAATGAGATGAGCACTCTCCAGAGGTGGTTGTCCATTGAAGATTGCCTCAACCTGAACCTCTGCACTCAATGTACTCAAAATAATATTAATAGCTTGAGCATTGAGTTGCACGCATATCTCTTCCTCTTTTGACAAATTTTTGTAGTTGCTCCAATCAACTATAAAAAGAGGTATGCTTGCATCCATAATATGCTCAACAAGAGGACTAATATCTCTAAAAGTGTTGAGTACATGTATTGACCAAGGTAGAAAGTTTGAACTATCATTTTGGAGAAGCACGGGCTCCAACTCGATAGGCGTCAACATCCTTTTCTCACGACGGTGAAGCTTTAGGTGAGAACCTTGCTCTGATACCAATTGAAAGGACCTAGGATGTCGCCTAGAGGGGGGTGAATAGGCGTTTCGAAAATTAACACCTTTAAATGTGGAAACAATTAGAAAAGGGAGTACCACGAAGGTCAGCCCTAGAGGGTACCACGAAGGTCACTCTAGCCGGAGTCTTTTCCAACTCATTTTCCTCCTTCCACTAGTTGATTCCGAGACGGCGGAATCGACCGTTACAAACTTTCCGAGGCACACCACAATCTCTCGGGTGCTCTCTGGCGACGCCTAACCATCTAGGACCAAAGAGTCTAAGAGTAACGAATACGAATCACGAGATTGACAATATGCACAAGTGCTCAACTGGTTGGATTGCTCTCTTTTTGAATTTCACTCAACCCACAATATGATTTGGCAAATTTGATCAATCACTCACTAAGAGAGGGTTGGGAGAGTTGGCAAGGCTCAAAAACGTGTATGTGTATCAGCAGAATCAGCAACCTCCAAAGGTGGAGGCTTGGGGGTATTTATAGCCTCTTTGGAAAAACTAGTCGTTTTATAGCCGTTGCCATATGTCGGTATGACTTACACTACCCCAATGGTAACTAAGTTACAATGACAATGTGAGGCGTCGGAACTCCCGATGAATGTCGGAATTCTCGACCGTCAGAACTCCCGACTCACGTCGGAACTCCCGACCCTCAGCATATTTGAAAACCATGTAACTGAGTTAAAATATGTGAGGTGTCGGAACTCCCGACTCATGCCGGAACTTCTGACCGTCGGAACTCCCGACCCTAAAGGCTTTTGAAATCTAGCCGTTGGCTTCTGGCCGTCTATACCGGACACGTCCGGTATGACCAGGACAGTGAACCCTCTAAGTCAGTTAAGCGCGAAACGTTGGAACTCCCGACCTATGCCAGAACTCCCGACGAATCAACTCGAGAACAATAAGAATTTTATCGTGGCTTGGCACATACCGGACACGTCCGGTATCGGTATTACCAGACCAGCAAAACACAAGTTAGCTCTTTTGTCTCTCAAACACTCAAAACTCATATGAGTTGGCTTGAGCACTTATGAAACATTATCTATCAACATGATGCATCCCTCTTAATAGTACGGCATTTCTATTAACTCAAATTTAAAAGTATAACGAATTTAAACCTTTTGAGTTGATCTCTTTCAACCGAAGCCGTGTATTCCAATCTTCATCAAGTGAGGGTGCTAACATGTCAACTTTGATCTTTTTCACTTGAGCATAGCTATCTTGAGCACGTGACTTGATTCCATTCATCAAATTTGAATAATTCCAAATGTATCAAGTCACTTCCATCAAACACTCCAATAGTGATTTGATCCTTCATTATGACCATCATAGCTTGATTAGTACCTCAACTAAATGCAAGTACTTTCTTCTCATCCTAGCTAGGTTCTTCGGCTGCCAAGCCGTCGCTTGCCCTTCACCCTTGCTTAGTATCTCGAAGCCTTTCCTTGCTATCTTCACCATCTCAAGCCATCAAGTCACATCTTGTGTTGAATCATCCATTCATGTATTGTTATCTTTTTCATTTCAATTTAGCAAGCTTTAAATATGAGACCATTCCATATGCAATCACTCATGTCTCATTAATTAATTCTTACGAGCTTGCTTTCACATAGTATATGGAAATCCCACAATAAATAAGCCTTTGCATGAATTTCATTTGTATTGTTGTCTTGTGCTTGAACTAGATTGTTTATACAACAACACATCATTTTGGCTTTCATTAAGTACCTATGAGATAACCTATTACCTATCCGCACTTAGCAAACGGGTTAGACCTTTAATCACATTGTCATTCAATCATCCAAAACCCACTAAAGGGCTAGATGCACTTTCACTATCGACTAAAGAGTCGATACCTAGCAATAAAGCAATTGAGATAAACATCATCGGCTAAACAAAGCATAATCGAAACAAAGCACTTAGCCGACAAGTTTGATGAAAAGAGCATAACATGAAGACAATCATCTATTTTAACATAAACAAGTTTATAAACCGTCTAGATCTAGTTCATTATCGTTATCAAACAGTTCAAAGATGATGCAGCGTTGATAAAGACAATAAAATAAAGCTATCTGACTTAAAAGCCTCATCTCAAAATAGATTCTCGCAAACATGCTATGAAAGTGAAAGCGCAAGCTATCGGCTATTTAGCCGGTGCGGCATAGGTTATGTATAACATGCGATCAGTCAACTATTTAATACGAACAAATCTATAGACTAGCCAGAGCTAAACTATTACCACTACAAAATAGTTCAATTTGATGCAATGTTGGCAAAGATAGCAAATTAGACCTAACAAGCCAGTAGATTTATCCATAGTTCAATAGAATCGTGAAAACTTGTTATAAGCATGCAAGCACAAGCCATCGGCTATATATACCCGACCTCCCCTTATATATCGAGGTAGGTCGGGTACATGGTGGTTTGTAGGAGTTAGCATATGGTCTACATGGGCCGGTATCTAGGAGCGTCTTGCAGCGGCGTGGATGGACCTTGGCGTTGTCGTGGAGCCGAAGAAGCTCTGGGTGTCGTCCGCTCTCTATTCCCAAGACGAGTGTCGGGCCTTTGTTGGCTTGGACCGGCCTCCACCAGGTGCATCTTTTGGAGGCTTCTTGGCGGTGAAGGCATCCGGCTTGAGGGGATGACGAACGGGCTCGGAAGCCCCCGAGCCCCTGAAGCCAACGAAAGGATTTGTCCCGTTGTGTCACGCCTTGTGCGTGACTCTGTTAGAGGAGTGGTTGATAGCGTTGCGCCTGCTGGGCAGCACTAGGGAGCCCCCGAGCTACGGAAGCTTGGGGCGCTCGTCTCCGGCCCGAGCATTGGCTAGTGATGAAGGCCGGGAGGGGGCCAATGATCGGGGTCACACTCCGGTCGATCGGGAGTCTGAGGCTGGGGTGAGCCCCCAAGTTTCGAGACAAAGGCGGAGGGCGTGCTCGGGCTCAGCCCAATCTTTAGCCGGAAGGTGCATGCGAGCACCCCTGAGGGGTGTAGCCCCGGAGCCTCCGGGCGATCCTGGAGGGATCGGTCGCGAACCTTTGATCCTGAGGCTTAACATATCCTATGTTAGGATCTCGTCAGCTATTCATGTTTGCCTATCTTCGCATATCCTGATTCTTTTTCCCTAATCTTGTTTCCGCAAAAAAAAAATTTAGAAATGAAAACAGAAGATAGGTTTTTCTGCTTGTTTCCGCATGTTTTCATTCCTACAACCACCTAGGTCATGTTTATTTAGAACCTATTTGAATTCATGATGTTTTTTATTTTGTGCTATTTTTTCTATGAAAATAAATTGATTTGAATAAAAAATTATATAATTTCCGAGGCACTTGAGTTTCCGCTGCGTGCTATGCCGGCGAGCGGCGGCCACGAAGACACGAACACCTGGCGACGTCGGAGCTACCCGGTGCCTAAGTACAAATAAGCCCCCCTGACCCGGGCCAGGGTCTCTACCGCACGCCCTGCCGCGCGCCCGCGCCTAGCTCGCGGCCTCGCGCCCCCCATCCTCGCAGGCTCGCACCACAATCACACGAGCAGACAATCACCAACTCCCTTTCTGTTTTTCGCTTTCACTGCTCACCATTTCGCGTCCTTGCCTCGCCCTCTCGCCGTCGCGGGCGCCTCTTTTTCACCTCCCTCCCCCCATCTGCCACGCACCTTCGCAGAAAGAAAGGCGCCCCGAGGTAGAGGTAGAAGAGGTAGAGCCCGGTAGCCGAACACCTCCACCAACAGCAAAGCACCACCACCAGAGCCGAGCGCACAAAAGCGCGCGGCCGGGACGCCGGGACAAAGCAACGGGCAGACTGTACTGCCCGCTGCTGCAGCTACCCTTCCAGCCCCGGCCAGGCGCTCGCAAAGTGCGGAGCCGTCCTCTTCGCTCGTGGTCTCTCTCCGCGCTCTCGCTCCAGGTCGTGTACGACCCGCCCGTCCGTACGGACCCCGGCGCTCGTGCGCGGGCGACATGTCTTCGGCGGCGGGCGGTGGATACGGAGCCGGCGGCGCCGACCACCAGCACCTGTTGCTGGGGCAGGCCGCGGGGCAGCTCTACCACGTGCCGCAGCACAGCCGCCGCGAGAAGCTGCGGTTCCCGCCCGACCCGGCCGACTCGTCCCCGCCCACTGCCTGGCCGGCGCCCCCACCCTTCTACTCCTACGCGTCCTCGTCGACGTCGTCCTACTCGCCGCATAGCCCAACGCTGGCGCACGCGCAGCTAGTAGCGCACGCGCTACCTGCAGGCGCCGGGGCCCAGATCCCAAGCCAGAACTTCGCGCTCTCGCTCTCTTCGACGTCCTCGAACCCTCCGCCCGCGCCGCGGAGGCAGCTCGCCGCGGGGCCGTACGGCCCGTTCACGGGCTACGCGGCCGTCCTCGGGCGGTCCCGGTTCCTGGGCCCCGCGCAGAAGCTGCTCGAGGAGATCTGCGACGTGGGCGGACGGCCCCCGCACCTGGACCGGCGCTCCGACGAGGGTATGCTCGACATGGACGCCATGGACGTGGCGGGGGACGTGGACCACGACATGGACGGCGGTGACCGCGCTACCGCTGAGGCGGTCGCTGTCTGCGGCGCCGAGCAGCAGTGGAGGAAGACCAGGCTCATCTCCCTCATGGAAGACGTGAGTTAATCACTACGATCCGCCTTCCCCAGCTTCTTGATCCTTCAAAGAAAAACACGCCTTTTTCTGCTTTTGTTTCATATCGCAATTATTTCTTCTTCGGCGAGAAGAATCTAACGAACACACCTCATGGTCACGTCACGGAGCCCACATCCTGGTTGAATCTTTATTTACTGTTCTGGCACAGCTTATTTCTTGTGCTTGTGATTTGATGATAGTAGATATGGATTGTGATTCGAGCTCTTTCGGATATGTTTCTTTGGTTAATATATGCATGAAATCATTGTTCTGCACTGTTGATGTTGAGCGGTTTCCATTCCTTTTCATTTTTCCCTTGTGAAAACTAGCAACTTGCTGTGAAGTTCTTGATGAACAGAATTGCTCAGCAGTTCAAAGCATGAAATTGGAACATCAAAATATATCAGGGTTCTCTAGTTTTATCCGATCCCGTAGAAACTTTCAAAATTGCTACTCGATAAGATTCCTAGAGTTTTTGTCTTCTTTCGAAAGGATGCCATATGCATCAGTGTAACCTGAAGAAAGATTCTGTTTATCTGGTCACCACTCTTTTGCTAAAATAATTCTATTGTTCACGGTTGTAATTTTGCCAGGCAAAGTACAGTACGTGCTAGCATCTTGATTCCTAACATACACTTTGGTGCAGTCTTGTCTAACGGGAGGAAAATAAATTCTTGCTATGTCCTATATATGCTGAACTTCCTGAGTTTATTGGCTGCACTAAGTAGTTATTAGTTAAGTACTAAATTTTGGGTGTGCTCTACCTTTAAACTCAGAGTCCATGAACCTTGCAGGTTTGCAGGCGATACAAACAGTACTACCAGCAGCTGCAATCTGTTGTCTCCTCGTTCGAGACCGTTGCGGGGCTGAGCAACGCGGCCCCCTTTGCTTCCATGGCTCTTCGGACAATGTCGAAGCATTTCAAGTGTCTGAAGGGGATGATAATGAGCCAGTTACGGAACACAAGCAAGGTCGTCGCCAATGATGGTATTGGCAAGGACGATATGGCAAACTTTGCGCTTATGGGTGGTGGAGCAGGCCTCCTGAGGGGAAACAATGTGAACGTGTTCGGCCAGCCTCACAACATTTGGAGGCCTCAAAGAGGGCTTCCTGAGCGTGCAGTGTCTGTTCTTCGCTCATGGCTGTTCGAGCACTTCTTACATCCGTAAGTATATGAATGTCGTATCTGCTGATCTTGTTATCTTTGAAGTATTTTGGTTTTGGTGAAACTGATATTACAAAACATGATACATAGTCACATGTGTACTTGTAGTTGCTATTGAATTCGGGTGTAGAGCAGGAGTACTTGAATCTGGTAACCATTGGGTAGAAAAGACATGTCATGATGATATGCTGCTTGCGCAACATGATGATTACTATTAGTGAGAGAATCATGAAACAATGCGAGATACGGGATAAATGCCTACATAGTTCCAACCGAACCAATGGCCAAATTCTTTGCTTTATTGGAAGTTTTTTTTTTTCTTGTGCATGCACTTATTTTTTTGCCAGTGGTAAGTGCACAATGGCCACTGCTAGTGATAAGTCCAAGTTATGTTTTCACGGTTGAGAAGTACTATGCTTGAAATTTTCTTTTGAGTCGCAAATCGTGAAATATCATTGATGTTAGTTCATTACTATCTGATTACATATTCTTTCCTCAAATTGTTAATAGATGTGCATTGTTTAAGATTTCCTCGTGGAGCCCACTTGTTAGTTCATCCTTATTGTACTTTGTACAGCAGCTTGAAAAATCCTTATATGCAACAACCTTAGACATGTACAGAAGTCTAGGGTAATGTTGTCATTATACTTGCAGTTTTTGTGATCGCCCTCTGGGGCCTCCTGTGCATCCAATGGTGGATGCACATGGGGGCACATGCCCTTAAGGGCAAAACTCCGTGTCCTCGTCCATAATTTTGGATTGATTGTTACATCTGTTGGAATAAAGCCTTGCATCAGAATGGAGTTTGGTTCTGGTTGTGAAACCTACAGGACCATTTGTGATCTTTCTGGTGTTGTTTAGTCTCATGCACTAGTGGTTGGACAAATTACTCCTTAGCGACTTTCTCGAATACATGCTATATGTAACTTTACTCCTTAGCGACTTTTGAATTACATGTTATATGTAACTTTTATTTCAGTGAGTTTGTTCGAGGATTGTTTTGATCACTTGCTTTCACGTGCCATTGTGCTGCTATCTGTGCTTGCTTGGTTCTCTAAGTATCCTAGTTCTCATGTTTGGTGGTCATTTTACAGGTATCCAACTGATAGTGACAAGCAGATGCTGGCTAAACAGACAGGCTTAACAAGGAACCAGGTAAGTTGCCATGAATGTAAAACTAACAATACTACTAGAATTTTACCATCGTCAACGTGATCGGCTGGGGGCGGGCTGGCTGGCTGGGCTGGCCAGCCCCCTCACAAAAACACTGTTCATCTGAACCAGCCAGCAGTACGTCTCTCTCACGTAAACGAACCAGCAATGATACGAACCAGCCAACAACTATCAAAACAAATATGTTGTATTAAAACATCATTGTGTCCCTGATAAGCCCGTGAATTCAATGAGCAGGTGTCAAATTGGTTTATTAATGCAAGGGTGCGGCTCTGGAAGCCCATGGTGGAAGAAATCCACAACCTGGAGATGCGGCAGCTGCAGAAGAACACGTCGTCGGTGGACAAGAATCAACTCGGCATGCAGCAGATTCAACAATTGTCGGACAGCAGTGGGAAGCCTTCTGACCCTTCAAACTCTCAGCGTGGGCAAAGCAGCGGCATGACAAGAAACCTCAGCTCTCCGGCATCATGCCATATCCAAGACGAGCTCTCCCAGATGCCCCACGACATGCCAGGCCAGGTGAGCTTTGCTTACAATGGGCTCCCCACGCACCACGGTCTTGCGCTGTCACATCACCAGCAAGCTGAAGCGGTCAGCGCCGGCATTGGTGTTGGTGGCGTGGCTGCCGCCGGCGGCGGCGTTTCCCTCACACTTGGCCTTCACCAGAACAACAGGACCTACATTGCCGAGCCCCTTCCGGCCGCGCTCCCGCTCAACCTCCCGCACCGTTTTGGGCTGGAGGACGTGAGCGACCCCTACGTGATGGGGTCATTCGGCGGCCAGGACCGTCATTTCACCAAGGGAATAGGCGGCCACCATTTGCTCCATGACTTTGTTGGTTGATCTCGATCGTCTTAATTGGAAGTGTTGTCAGCATGCATGTATTGTATTATTAGGGGTAGGACAGTCGAAGAGACCATTTGGTCCATGCATCCAAGAATGCTGTCGATATTTGACAATGTGAGGGCTATAGATGGCATGACGTACCGTTGAAGATCTGTTCCAGTTGTATGTTGTAGAGTTGAACCCTATTTGTTCTAATCCCAGGTGATCGATTAAGCGGTGTTGACACATTGTACCACTATTCCTTTGACATGCAATTGAAGTGAAGGTTGAAAACAGTGGTTAATTAGTTCTTGCTCCTTTGCAGCTAGTCCCCAGTGCTCCTGGAGGTTGAGATGAGATGGTTTTTCACAATAGTTTACAGTGTAGCTTCATTGTGTAGCCCTAAAATATGACTGCTGGGATAGTGGACAGGTGGTAGCCTTATCTTGATGTTGGATATATGTAGTTAGCCTTTCCATGTACTCCATTAAACTAAGAAAGCAGGTTGGTGGCAGTATTAATCTGTGCCAGATCTTGCATCCTTAGATGGAGTACGCCTCCTAAAGCTTGGACAGGCCATGATTTGGCCATCTGCTATATGACCTTCGCAGCTCCAGCACACGCGTACGTTGTCATCACCCACACCTAGCTAGCTAACCGCTAACACTTGCTGTTAGGGCTGAGCTGTGCCTATTGGTAACCAAGCTTTCGCCTTGATTTACGCACTAAACAACCAGCCAATTAGCCAGCGGCGACATGGGCTACGCCATGATCTGGGGCTGTCCTGTCAATTTTTTTTTTACTTTTCCCCCAGGGTAAAAAGCCCATGTTACCTGGGATCAGTTATCCATGGCCCTCGGTTGTGCAGCGCCCGATTTGACGTACGCTTTGGCGAGTAGAATAACAGCTGGGGGGCTCCATGCACGCCCTTTTTTGCGTGGAGGGAATCCATGCACGTCACTGATCACTACTGCTGCTCAGGCTCAGCTTCAGCTCCTTCTCGGCAGAAAGCAACCGGTGTGTTCTTTGTTTAAAAAGGGCACTGTTGCGAGCTCCTTTCTCTTCTAGGCTCTACTAGCGCTCCAGTGGTGTGGTGTGGTGCCTGCATGGGCAGATTATTGCTCTCTGATTCTGCATGCCCGCTGAGCAAAACATGATGTGCTGCCTTTTTTCTATATGCCTTCATGGATAAAGCAGGGGTGATCATTGCCACTCATGGAGAGGAGGGAGAACTGGACTAGCCAAGCTTCAGATTCAGGGTTCAGCAGCAGAGCTTCATGGAGGATGCATGGGAGCTAGAGGAAAGGCTGCCGGGACATTCCGGTTTCTATGTTTTTGTAGGGGTACTACTACTACTACTCTCCAGTAGTGTTCGACGTGAAAAGGAGAACGCTGTCTTGTCAATTCAAGATCACGTTAACTCATGTCAGCAGTTCATGAGCTGTAAGCATCTTTCACCAGAGACTCGTTGTTTGGCGTTCGAGCATGGGTGACGGTAGTACTGGTAGGAATGGATCGGAGCTGTAGGTGTTTTGATTTTGAATTTGGTGTGGAGCTGTACTACTCTCTAATTATGATGGGACCAAGAAGAGGGCCAGTTTAGGTGCTTTGTTCCTTTTGTCGGCAATTTTGTTGCTTTGCTCAAGATTAGACAGATTAAATTAGCATATCATAAATATTTTCTACGTTTTGTCTAAGGTTTAATCTTTTCACTTTTTTTAAAACACTGATGCTACTAGCATACTAGTGCCTAGTAGACAACATCTTTTTTCACTCTGGCTGGCAGTGGCAGCTCAGAGCAACTGCAACACAGGAGGACATCAGGAGCAAATTCTCTTAAAATTTGTCATCTTCCTTATGTGCATGCATCCGAAACATAATATTTTTCCCCTATGAATGGTTGTATTAACTATTTTAAATCTTAACTTTTGTGACAAAGTATATCTATGATTGAATTATGAATTTTTTAAGTTTGAAAGCTTTTTAATATCAGTTGATATGTTTCTAAGGTACGTAATTTGTACCAATTTGTAAAAGCGCACCTGATAATGCTCCCGCTGCAGCGCTGGTAAGCCTTTGCTCGCATCCTTCTCTGATCAGTAGTGCCAGCTTCTGCTTTTAACGCGAAGAGACCTTTCCTCATTTCCTTCTTGTCACAAACATTTCTCAATCAAGTGACAGAGCATTGCAGCTGGTGTAGGTGCAGGTGCAGGTGCAGGGGCATGCATGGGGCACACCTGGGAGCGGCCAAAGCACCCAAAGCCTAATCCGCGTCAGGTAGTGGGGTTCTCGTTAAGCATATGTTCCTTCCACTCTTAAGATATGGCCGATCTGACGATCCGTCCATGGATTTGCCGTGCAATGCCATCCCCTCGTGGCTTTTGTTTGTCTAATCCGAGTGGCCACCTCCTCCTGCTCCGTCCGGCCGGCCGCGGCTGTCACACACCACACCAGGCACCACCACCGCCTCCTCGTCGTCTCCCGCAGCGGCAGTGGCGCAACGTGCTTTCGCCTCGGAAATGACATGCGGCACTGTGCCCGCATAGAATAATTGCTTTTCTTGGGAAATGCGGGTGGCAGCAGGCAGGCAGGCAGGCAGGCACAGGCGCTCTGAACTAGAACTAGTAGAGTCCGGGATTGGATGGCTTTTGCATCATGCACCCCCTCACGGCACCTCCTGCTCACCTGCAGCACTGGCACTGCTACACTGCTAGCCTGCAGCTGCCTGTTGCATGGATGGATAAACAAGTCATCGGGACTCATAGCCTTTTTCTATAAAGAAATTGTTCAGTTTGTTGGGGTTGCTAGGTCGGGTTACGGGAACCGAAACAAAATACGTACGTACTACGCTGTTCTCTTCTCATATCTCTGTGATGGCTGCATAACGGTTTTCTTGGGCCAACACAGCGAATTTGTTCCGCAAAAGTTTGGAATTCGGCTACGGTAACACTTTCATTTTTATTTCATAATTAGTGTTTAATTATGGACTAATTAGGTTTAAAATGTTCGTTTCGTGATTTCCAACCAAACTGTGTAATTAGTTTTTTTTCGTCTACATTTAATGTTCTATGCACGTATCGTAAGATTCGATGTGATGGCTACTGTAGCATTTTTTTAAACTCTTTTTTTAACTAAACACGAGCTCAGTGACAAAAGAGGTGAAGATCATTTGCCAAATGTTAGCGCGTGTTTAGTTGCGTGAAGTTTGGATTTTGGGCTACGGTAGCACTTTCGTTTTTATTTGATAATTAGTGTTCAATAATGGATTAATTAGGCTCAAAACGTTCGTCTCGCAATTTCTAACCAAACTGTACCATTAGTTTTTTTCGTCTACATTTAATGCTCCATACACATATCACAAGATTCGATGTGATAGATACTGTAGCACTTTTTTGAAAATTTGAATGAGAACTAAACACGCGCTTAGCCACGATCTCAGCGAAAATATTTTATACAAATGATCGCGTTGCTGCAATAATCATGCATCCCATGCCACGTTTTCAATCTAGATTTTGACTTTACAGTAAGGCCATGTTTAGATTGAAAGTTTTTTCAACCTGATGAATAGTACCACTTTCGTCTTATTTGATAAATATTGTCTAATCGTGGACCAACTAGGCTCAAAAGATTCATCTCGTGATTTCCAACTAAACTGTGTAATTAGTTTTTTTTTACCTACATTTAATACTCCATGCAAGCGGCTAAAAATTGATGTGATGAAGAGGGAGTGAAAAAACTTGGAATTTTGAAGGAAACTAAACAAGACCTAAGTCTTAGGCTGTCTTTGGCACAGCTCCTGCCCGCGGCTCCCGCTCCTTTTGGCCTGTACGTCACTGTAGCACGCGAAAACTGGGCTCCGGCTCCTTCTCTATTTGCCTGTGAAACAGACAGAGCCAGCGGAGCTGCCTCTCCCGGCTCCTCCGGCTCCACGTTCTGTATGAACAGTGTAGGAGGCGGAGCCAGAGGTAGTCCGGCCAAACAAGCTCTTAGTTGCTACAAATGTCTTGTCCACATGCTAAGTTCAAACTTTTATGCTTATCGTGTCTTTTACATTAAATTATTCTTATATTACAATAAAAATAAGGATAAATTCTATATCTTGTATTACACTTTTAGGATCTGTTTAGAAGAGCTCCAGCCGCTACAGATTCGTGAAAACTATGGCCTCGTTCGGCTTATCCTATATTCAGTTTATTCGACTTCTTTTTTAGCCGTAATGATTTTTTCTCTCACAACAATTCAAATTTATGTGTTTTCACCAGTTTCACCAAGTTTTTAGACCAAATGAACGGGACCATATCCGATTCTATTTTTCAAGTGAGGGATTTCTAGATCTACCAGATCCACCATGAAACAACTCTCGAGATCCATAGATTTCGTGGAGCATCTCAAGAGATCCTCCACCAAGCTCAAGTTTGATGGAGTTGGGTAAAATTACTAAACACTGTCACTCGTTACATATCAGTTTGTTTCTATTTTTTCTTCTTCTTCCGTTCGAGTAGCGTCACCCGTCCTTGCCTTCCTCGTGCGCCTCTTCACCGGCTGCCACCAACCTCCATGGCTGGCCACGGCCGTCGTGCTTGAGCTTGCGATCGGCCACCCTAACCGCCGCCACCCCCCACAGTGGATCGGCAAGCCCGCCCATCATGGGGTGGTGAGCACAGCCACCACCGCGCCAAGCTCATGCCCGGCAGCCCCCCACGCGATGCCTCGCGAGGAAGATGAACTGTTCAATTTGCCCCCTGGATATTTTTTTTATGATTACATGTGAGTCCATGTCAGAGCTGGAGCTGTGCCAAACACTTGGATGAAACGTAGATCGATGGTGTTGCTGCTCCACGGTGGATCTGGTGGATTTAGGTGGATCTAGAGCTGCTGGAGCTCTCTCAAATAGGCCCTTAATAACTATGACAAAGACAAACAATCCATGTTTCATGGAGGACCTTCTCTTAAGGCCGCCCTATACCCATGGTACCGTGTTCTTTTACATAATAAACTTGAATTCATGGAGGACCTTC